AATGAGTTTTTTTCGTTGGGTTTTATAATAACATGATCCTATTATAAATCTTTTAATTTATTTATTAAAAAAAAACGGTTGAAGCTATTTTATTGGACCAATTAGCTACGCCAATAATTAATTACATGTCATGTGGGAGCATAAATTGCGACAGACAAATCATTAATCATTTTCCAACTAAATTCCTAAGGTTTCCATCTAACATAAAATATTAAAATAAAATCGAGGGCTAAATTTGTAAATGTGACACCCGAATAAAGTTTAATTAAATTAGTAGCTTAGCAATATTTGTGACACCCGAATAAAATGAGAGGTACATGAATGAACCGAGATCATACTCAAATGAGAGTGATCCCTGAGGATAGGATAACTGAACTTGTTTTTCGGTAGCTCAATTATAGAATTTTCTTAGTTAAGCGTGGTTTGCTTGGAGCAATTCCATGTACGAAAATCATGTTGTATGAGGTGCAGAGGAATGTCGGGGTCATCAAGTGTCGAATCCATATTCTTAATCTTGGCCACGAGTCGTCATAATATTTTTCAACTTGATTATCAGGATTAGCTCGATATCATAATGACAGTCTCGTTTAGGAAGTTTGAGTCAACTAAGACTCTTCGCGTTGGATCAACGTCTATAGTTATTAGCATGATAGGGTCGTTCTCTTAGTATCCCTTTTTGAAACGACAATGATAAAATCAATCATACTTTAAATAATATGATTATAAATGCTCGAGAAATTAAGTTAAGTCTTCCGAAAATGTATTGTTTAGTCATATCATAGGTACATTTTAATCCATTTTTTGTTTCAAAACTTTGACTTGTACATATATTTTGGTCCCTTGGCCAAATTCTCTCACCTACAGCTTTAAATTATTTACCTAATCAAAATATAAGGATGGAATAATTACAAATAAAAAAATATATTAGGACCAAAATATTATAAAAAAAACAAAAATATGTTGATCAAGTAAATATTATCAACAATATTAAAAATTTATTCACAACAAACATAATTTATTTTATTAAATAAAGGTAAAAATTGGAGAAGGAAAATAGTAGTAATACATCTAAAATTAGCCCCAAAAAACTTCTAAATTTATGATTCCGAACCATAATTTAATAGGTAAGACACTAATTATCGTTCTTCATCTGCAAACTTTGTTCATTTCTATATATATATATATATATGACTTACAAAGATCATAAACCCCATTTGATATTTTGATTAAAACCGATCCAAAACAGACAATATCTAAATGCAAAAGCTCTCCCTTTGTACAGATTTCGAGCTTCTCAAAGTCACATAAACAGTAAGCACAACAGAGATATATATATATATACATAATTAAGCCTATTTGTTTTGATCTTATGGGGTTTTATTACTATTGTTACCTTATTATTAGAGTTGAAGATCTTGTACTTAGCTTGAAATTGAAGGAAGAGGGCAGTTCCAATTGAGTAACTCTTCAATCATTTGCATTGCAATTCTGTCTTCTTCATCGATTCCGTTCCGATGGCCATCGGGTTCCTGGCTCGTTGATTCGGGCGATGGCAACGGGGATGGTATCTCCTTCTTCCCTAGCTCAATCCTCATGACCCAATTGGAGGTGGCTCGAGTGCCTGCGCGCTTCTGCCAGACACCGATGTGGGCGTTGTCACTGTCGAGCCGCAGGCATGTCAAGGAGGGAGATGGGTTCTTGCAGCACTTTCTGAGCTTTGTGCTGAGTAGCTCTGAGAGGGCTTTTGGGGTCATTGGAGAAGATCCGTGCCCATGGCTGGCTTCTGCAGATTGGTCTTTTGATGCAGGGAAATTGGTCTTGGCGTTTTGGCCGTTCATTAAGATGGCTGCTTGATCATACGCTCGTGCTGCATCCTCTGCTGTGTCGAATGTCCCCAGCCACACCCTTCTCTTCCTACAAAGAAATTAACACATGAAACGTATAAGAATGTGGGCTCAAGGTGTAATGTATAGCAGAAATGAGCGTGGTCAATGGCCATAGCCGGCTAGCTTCTTTGTTTAAGGCACAACAATGGTGGGTTTCCATTTTTCAGAGATTTTTTTCTGAACCAACAAACACAATCAATGCATACATTTACAGCAGAGGAAAATGTAGTTCACAAATCTACAGAAATATGCATGCCATGGCTACCCAGATTCTTTCAGGCATATCAACAAACACCTTATGGGCACCAAACAAAAGGGGGGTTTTCACAGCATTTTTAACCAATAAACACAAGAAATTGATTACAAACATACGACAATAATGCAGTATACGAGTTTTCAAAAACATACGCCGCCAAAGGAGTTCAGTTTCTTTCAGACAAATCATCAAACAGGTTATGGGCAACAGACAGAAAATGGAGGAAACAGAGGACAATCGAACCAATAAACCCAACCAATGGCGCATATATTTATAGCAAAAGAACAAACAACGTCATGTAAGAGTGAATTTACAGCAATGGGTGGCGGATTTCTGACACCCAAGAGCCCCACTGCCGCTGCCTGACTCCTCTGAACTTCCTTGAATAAACCATAACTCTAGAGAGAGAAACACAGAGAATTTCAGAGCCTTCAACAAGAGAGAGATAGAGAAATTAAAAAAAAAACAAAAAAAAAACAGGTGAGAGAGTTGAAAAACGTACAGAGAGTAATAATTTCAGCCATTTATATAGAATTGTCGGTGGAAATTGAAAATTATTTGATAGAGAAGAAGAAGAACAACAACAACAATAGTACTTTTTAAATGGGGTTGGCCATTAAAATCTTTCACCTGCTCACCATGAAAGATCCACAGTCGTAGCTTCTTAACAACCAAAATTTAATGAGATTCCGCTCATTTCAAATCTCTCTCCCATTTCTGCAACTTTTCTTCTATCTCTCCAATGGCGGATCGAAATGGAACCCCCAAAACTTCTAATCTGTCTGCTATCCGAAAAGAAGGTTTCATTAAATTTCACTCCTGAGCTTTGTGGGAATGGGGAAAGGGAAGAGGAAAATTTGCAGGTTTAGATCATAAAGCGCCATTTATGATCCCAGTGAGGAAGATGGAGTGTTTGAATTGAATAAGAGCCTGTTTCGCTGTTAATTAATTATCAAACAAAAAAATAATTAAGCATTTTCTTCTCATTTTAATTATTATTTTTTAATTTAAAGTATTTTCTATTTTTGTATAAAAATTACTTAAATTTGGGGAAAAAATCAATACTTTTCTAAAAATTATTGATTTTTCTCATTTTCATTATTTTTCTAAAATCAATATCATTTCCCTCTTATTTTAATTAATTTTTCATGTCTAATAAATTTTATAATATTTAAATATTTAAATATTTATAATTTTAATTTTATGCTCAATAAATTTATTAATTTTAGAAATATCAACTAATCTAATTAAAACACGAAAATTAAAAATTGAATTAATGATACGTATTATACCTACCAATAAAATTTGTTTATAAATTTTGTGTCGTAAATGTTCGAAAATTTGAATGTAATCCTAAAACTCATTGTAGCTTATTAGCGCACGCTAAATATAATTATATATTCCATTTTTGCCCTTTGTTAGTATTTAAATTTTATTTTGGCTCCTAATTTTTTTTAGTATATTTTATTTCAATATTTATTATTTGGGCTCGAATTAATCAACCTCAAGAGCAATGTAGGATTTCAGATAGTCGATGGCCTCCCATTGACTATAGGAGTTTGATTTTTTTAAGGTTAAAGTGTAATTTTGGTATCTTCTTGTTTCGAGTGGATAAGACACTTATTATGGTTTAAAATAATATCGTTTACTCAAAAAAAAAAAAATTATAACCCTCATCAATAGACTGGTTGTTAGCATGACTAAATGCTCTGCCACGAGCCAACATCATTTAATACGAGAAACTCAAAAAATAAATAAATGAAATTTTTTATTTTTCACTTATATTTGCAATGCTATATTAAAAAAACTACTTAAAAAAATTAAAATAAAATTAATAGAAAAAAAAAAAAGAATATGGTTTGATAATTGACATGCACATCCCCCACTTTGGGCTGGCCACCATAGCCCAAAAGAAAAACTCCAATGGGCCCATTCTATAATCTTTTCCCTTTTTGCCCCTAAAAAATCGTATTAATTTTTTTTTAATTTTTTATTTCTGTTAATTATTAATTTACAATAAAAACATTAAAAAATTCTAAATTTGACATTTATTTATTTTTTATTTACTTGTAGTTGCGACCAAAAGTTACTTAAATTTAAAAGACCAAAACACCCCCTTTATATTTTTAATGAAAAAAATTAAAATCAGACAAAAAAAATTTATATCAATCCATTACATTATGGTTAAAATTAAAAAATAAACATTAAATATTAATAAGAAAAAAAAGTAATAATTATGGATAACATAATTTTGACTGTCAACTTGATTATTTGTTCATAATTGTGTACAATGTACCTTTGCCAACTTGTAAGAGACGGTAGAAAATGGAATAAAACAACTCATAAATATTAATTTAATTTTAATATTTATTATTTCTTTTTAAAACAGTCGTTCTTCGATGAAGACATCAAAACGACACCGTTACTTCTCGGGCTGTTACTGTAACTCATAATTAATTAATTTAAATATTAGAATTAGGATTGAAATACCTAATAAAGAAAAAAATAAATATTGGGAGTGTATTAATTAGAATAATATTTAGAGCTAATAGAAATAAATTAATAAATAAATACTTTAAAAAGTGTTTTTTTTTTTTAAATGTGATAAATTAAATATATTTAAAAATTTGAAAATAAAAGAAAATATATTTGAAAAAAGGAAAAGAAAAACAGAGGCTGGTTTGGGGTTTGGGGTTTGTGGTATTGTTTTTTAATTTTAATTATTTTTTATAATTTGGTGGGAGAATAATACGAGGGAAAGGCTACATTGTGAACAAATACATTGCACTTGGGTTTTTATTGGGTGTGTGCGCATGTACCGAAACTCTCTTCAACTTACGATAAAACCTTCTTCTAGACCGCTCCAGGCCTCCTATTTTTCCTCACACTTTCCTCTCTCTTGATTTTTTTTCCCTATCTGGTAGGGTTCCAACGATCTCCTTCGCCTACGATTTATCTCATGAATTCACATTCTCAGGCTGAATTCGTCTTGCTGTTGTGCTTGATCTTCGTTTTCTCTCTTATTTTTGCTCTCTTTCGAGGCTTTTTGAGTGCGAATCCGTTTAGATTCCACCCCCTGTGGGTTTTTGAGCCATACTCATGTCGAAGCTCTTCGCCTATTCCGGTAAGTGGATGATTTTGTATGGTTTGCCTGCTGTGTCATTGAGCTTGTGAATTGGAGGTTCTGTAGATTGTGAGAGGCAGTGGATGATTTTAAGTGTTTTGTTCTATGTGGATGTGGAGTGTTATTTGGATGAAATTATGGATTGGAGGGGAAATATTTGGATTATTGGTTTAGTTATGCGGTTTCTCGATTTCGCCAAGTGGCGGGTAATGTTTTTGTATGAATTACGAGGGAGCATGGATGTGGTTTTGTGGTCTTAGGATTGTGGTTTGGGGTTGATTGACCGTTTTATTGTCTCGAACAGGCCAGATGTTATTTTTGGAATCCATCGGTTTGTATCTTTTTCTCGAAAAGAGACATCATACTTTAAGGCGTTTACCTGTTGAATGATATTTATATTGTTGATCTATGATCCCCATACAGGCCAGGTTTAATTTGATTTACTTTTAAGATTTGAATATTAGAACAAGAGAGCACATCCAATAATAAATATTAAACGATCAGACAATAGTTTTGCAAAGATCACTTCCTGCTTTTCTCTTACGATAAATTGTCAATCATTTCATCTATTATGATCTACGGATTTTAATTGTGAAGTTGATGATGTTTCTAACTTCCTGTTGTCGAAATTTCAGGCCGTGAAGATTTTTTCCCTGGAGGGTCAATATACCCAAATCCCAAGAACTCAAGTCTATTCTTGTCCCTTCCTCACCACGTTGATGTCTATTTTCCTCCTCGCAAGAGGTCTCGCATGTCTTCTTCCTTTGAGTCTGGTGGAGAAGGGGTTGTATCAAAGGAAAATGTCTCTATTGAAATTCTTCCAGATGAGTGCCTCTTTGAGATTTTCAGACGATTGTCTGGTGATAAAGAAAGGAGGGCCTGTGCAGGCGTTTCTAAACGATGGCTTATGCTTATGAGCAACATATCTTGCCACGATTTGATTTCTGAGGATGAGATGGCCACAAAGGAGATTGAAGACATTGAAATTGAGAGTGATGGATATCTGTCAAGGAGCTTGGAAGGGAAAAAGGCAACAGATCTCACACTTGCTGCCATTTCTGTTGGAACTGCAAGTCGAGGGGGGTTAGGCAAGCTTGTGATCCGTGGAAATTATCTTGTCGGCAAGGTGACCGACCTTGGACTCAGGGCAATTTCTCATCGGTGTCAATCTCTGAGGGTTCTTTCTTTGTGGAATCTGTCTTCCATTGGAGATGAAGGTCTCTGTGAGATTGCCAAGGTCTCTCACCAGTTGGAGAAACTTGATCTCTGTCGGTGCCCTGCTATTTCTGACAAGGCTGTGGTTAAGATAGCTATGAGCTGCCCTAAGTTGACTGATATTTCAATAGAATCTTGTGCCAAAATTGGAAATGCAAGTCTGCGAGCTATTGGGCAGTTCTGCCCCAAGCTCAAGTCCATTATGATTAAAGATTGCCCACTTGTTGGAGATGAAGGAATTGTAAGTTTGTTGTCTCTGAACACTTGTGTCATGAACAAGGTGAAGCTTCAAGCTTTGAACGTTTCTGATGTGTCTCTTGCTGTTATTGGGCACTATGGCAAGGCAGTTACCGACGCAGTCCTTACCGATCTTAAAAACGTTAGCGAGAAAGGGTTCTGGGTCATGGGCAATGGTCAGGGACTACAAAACTTGAAGTCACTCACAATTTCCTCCTGCAATGGAGTGACGGACATGGGGATCGAATCTATTGGAAAAGGTAGTCCAAATTTAAAGCACTTGTCTCTAAGAAAGTGTTCTTTCTTATCTGATAAAGGCATGGTCTCTTTTGCAAAAGCTGTAAGGTCGCTTGAGTGCTTGCAATTAGAGGAGTGCCATAGGATTTCTCAACTTGGGTTCTTTGGTATCCTTTTGAACTACCGTAAAAGTTTGAAAGCTCTTTCTTTAATAAACTGCTTGGGAATTAAGGACATGAACTCAGAATTGCCCATCTCGGCCTCTAGTGGATCCTTGCGGTCGTTGACCATCCGCAACTGCTATGGTTTTGGCAACAGAAACCTTGCTTTACTGGGCAAGCTGTGTCCCCAGCTGCAGAATGTGGATTTTGGTGGCCTTGTTGGAATTGACGAATGTGGGTTTCTAGCTTGGCTCCAAAACTGTCAGTCGAGTTTAGTGAAGATGGACGTTAGTGGTTGTGTCAACCTGACTGACAAGGTGGTTTCATCCATAATCGAGCGCTATGGTTGGACGCTCGAAATGCTTAATCTCGATGGCTGTAGTAAGATCACCGATGCTAGCTTGACTTCCATTGCAAACAACTGCCCATTACTCAGTGATCTCGATGTCTCGAAGTGTTCGATCACCGATTCAGGGATTGCATCTCTAGCCCGTGCCAAGCAACTGAGTCTACAAGTCTTTTCGGTCGCGGGTTGTTCCTCTGTATCGGATAAATGCCTGGCTGACTTGATCAAATTGGGCGAGACTCTTGTGGGTCTGAACATCCAGCACTGTAATGCAATCAGTGGCAGCACTGTTGATCTGCTTGTGGAGAAGCTCTGGAGGTGTGACATTCTTTCATAAATTGATAACATACCGACCCGAGTCGACTGCAAACGGGCACCTGGGTTCGCCCTGCCTCTCAACGATACCACGTCATAGGTCCATGCTTTTTCCCAGTTTACTTCTTTGGTTCTTTTAGGAGGAGTCAAGTTTCTGAAAGGGCAGGCTTATATTTAATGTCATTGTAGTGGTTGCTTTAGTCTGTTCAAAAGCCACGGTGCCTAGTGTTCCATGGGCTTTGGCCATCACAGCCCTTTTTGGGTTGTTTTTTTAATACTTATTGCCAAGCCTTAGTGTTTGAGGTGCCTCTTCCCCCCCCTCATGGGAGAACTGCACGTGTAACCTTGCATGCAATAAAAGCTTCAGAGCCTGCCCTATTTGTTGTACGTTTTGCATTTTTTTTGTTTACTTTGGTTGAATTACTTTTTTATTTTGAAAATTGTGCCTATTTAATTCATCTCTAATTTTAGATGAATTTTAAAAAATAATTAATTAATTAATTTTGGGCGTGGTTTTTTACTTTTTTTTAAATTAATAAATTTGGCCTTTTCAAAATTAAAAAATGTACCACGTGTCACCTTAATATTGTGCCACGTTCGCCATCAATTCCTTGCATACTAAGGAGACGAGGTGTGGTCGTAAATCACAATTGCTTGAAATGGCGTTCAGTCATCTTTCATTGTCATGTGGAATTCTGAACCACAGATAAGGATAGATCCCTTCTGCAGAGTATTTTTTTTTTTTTTAAAAAAATACAATTAAATTACAAAAAAGCAACAATTGTCTTTAAGAAAAGCAATCACTAGATTTAAAGTCGTTTTAGGTAGAGATTATCTTGGCTAAACGAGATTAGAAAAGAAGATTATAATTTCCGTCTCCGTCTCTATTCCCATCCCTTTTCAAATAAATTCTTTATCAAATTAGCGGAGGATCATTCACTACATTAGCCAATGTGGGGTCAAGATCTTGGATAAACCCATGATTCAAGATCTTTGATAAGATCTTGGATAAACCCATGATTCAAGATCTTTGATAAACTCATGATCATTTACTAGATTAGTCGGAAAAGAAGAATGCATCCCTTGTCAAATTCTAGTATGCCCCACTTTTAACTTTTTTATATATAAATATAAATATTATTCATTAATTTATTTAAAAAATCAAGAAAATTTCCCCACAAGAAACCTAATCTACAAAAAAAAAAAAAAAAAAAAAAAAAAAAAAAAAAAAAAAAAAAAAAAAAAAAAAAAAAAAAAAAAAAAAAA